CGTGTGCCTTGCTCCCACGACTATTAAATATTATTTATTATAATAACACATTCAGATCAGGTTCGGGTTGGGTCAACATTGGCCCAGACCCGGACTCGAATAGTATTTGGGTCCAAATATTGGACCTAGACACGATCCGCTAGGTCCAATTCTTGGACTCATACCCAGACCCGTATCAAGTCCCTTAACGGGTTCGGATCCATAGCCACCCCCTATTAAAATGATCTCATAGTGTAGAATCTCTATTTTATGCTAGTCATTCTCAAGATTGTTTTTTTTGCTTGCAAACCACACTTCTATGATTATTATTGATGTTCAATCAGATCTGAATCAATAATGGAAAGTACAAGAAAGGAGATGCAAAAGGTTAGCACGTCGTAATTGTGATGGGAAAGAATTTAAACAATTGAATAATGCTTTTAACCGCATGTACTAAGTCCATCCTCAAACCTCACCGTGCTTTATGGATTATTTTGTTTCTTGTAGCTTTTGAACGGGTCCGCCGATCTCAGGTATAAAAAAAAGGGCGCCCGTACCGTACTCCCGCAGGAGCATATTATCTAACTCCCTTGGGAAAAATTCCCATAATAGAGCTCTTTACATTAGGAAATTTGAGGATATATTTTAAAATTTTTAATTGAGTATTTAGAAAGAGAATCTATTAAGTTTATATATATATATATATTTTGACGATCCAAATAGTGAAGGACCTTTTTCAATATTAAGCCATTCATTCTTAAAATGAGTAGATTTGTTTTTGAAAAATTGTTTCATGCGGGCTGGACTGCATTTCTACACATACCGTCTAAAAAGTGTAAAGCGTCCATCTTCAAGATGGATGCAAGTAGGTGTTCCATCTAAAAACAATAGAAAATAATGGTCCAAATATTTTTTAACTAGAATTATTATTTTTAGTTTTGAAAACTTATTTAATTTTTCATATTCATGATCTCCATGTTAGAGATTACATGTCTTTAAAAATTAAGTCTTAAAATCTATTTCAAATTTTGGTGGACAATATAGATCCCTCGCCCTCATAGTAGCAGGTGTGGGCTTGGCCGCACCAAACAATTTTCCATATACTATTTACATCCACCATGTCAAATGAAAAATGAGAATACATGCTCTTGGGCAACCCTAAGACTATCAAGAATGAAACTGCCATTGGCGTTTGTTGGAACGTGATGCCAAAATCACTCCTATATGACATTCCCTTTTTCATGAGGAATATGCTTATCATAGAAGAATGACCTTTTTATGGAGGCCCATAAAAGTGAGTTTAGAGAGAGAAAACATAAGAAAAGTATAGAGAAGTTTTGGGAGGTAAATATTAGGGATTTTATACAAACCCTAACACCATTGCGCTCTTGTATTAGGCCGTATTTCATTGGGATTCTCTTGTAGCAATGGTTTTAGTTGATGGAGACAAATCAATGAGTCAATCGATAATGTTGTTGTGATAAAAAAATCAATTTAGGTTTTTATACTATTATATGAAGTAATGTCTATAAAATCTACAAATTTATAAATTTCTTTCATTGATATTGAATCATTTCCTTGCCAATTGACCATGGATGTAGCTTGATTTTCAGTGAACCATGTATATTTTGTATGTTGATGGTGCTTTGATTTTGGTTTGTATGTGTGGTTGTGCCATTGGACTTCCGATTTTACATTCTTTTGATTTTATTATATTTTTACCAAACTTACTACAATATATTCAATTCTTTGGTGTTTGAATTTCTTAGAATTGATTTGCTAGTGATAGATGAGTTGGTTCCAAGGTATTAGATTTGTTGTAGTGGAGGGTGGGGGTTCACCATAACAGGGGTAATCAAGATAGCTTCGGTTCCCAACAAGTGGTAATCAAGTGCGTAGTAATTTGGAAAAAAATGACTATTTACTAATTTGAAGTAAAGAACTTTGAAAGAATGAATGATTTTGAACTTTAGAAAATAAAAGTTCATGATATATTGATACAACAAAGTCTTAATAACGCACTACAAGGAATGTCTAAAAAACTGAAAAAATATGAAGAATGACGATGGGAAGAATTGGATAGGAAATACCTTGCAACAGTTCATTTGTGATTAGCAAATGAGATACTATTTAACATAGTAGGAGGAAAAACGGCAATAGATTTATGAGCAAAACTAAAATGCTTGCATTAAACAAAGTCCCTCACCAATCAACTTTTATTAAAAAGAAAAATATATTATTTGAGGATGAGAAATGATATGAAAGTGTCAGAATACTCGAATGAATTCAACAACATTATTTGTCAACTTGAAAGCATCGGGGTAATGATGGATGAGGAAGATACGACGGTAATGTTGTTATGTTTGTTACCAGAATCTTATGATAATCTTCTTACCACCTTGAGTATTAACAATGAAGAATTCCAATTCATCCCTTGAATTGGATTCGATTTGTAGTGCTCTACTTGGTAATGGACTTCGAAAGAAGGTATCAATGGATGATTCAATCGACCCAAGAATGTATGTACTTGTGGCAAGAGGCCGGTTCGATGAATATGTTGGTTCATGAAGAGATTCCTCAAGTAGCCAATCAAAGATCACAAAGGTTGTTATATTTGTCGCAAGCCCAGCCACATAAATAAAAATTATTGGCTAAGAAAAAGGGTAAATTCCTCGTAGGGTTACGGTTTGGGAATCGAACAACAAGGTGAGGCTAAGAATGAAGCTTACCAAGTTGAAGAATTAACATTGGATTATATTGAAGAGGAGGTGTTGATGGTGGGAGGCAATCCCATGTATTATGAAAGTTGGATACTTGACAGTGGAGCCACATATCATATATACCAGCATAGATCGTTGTTTAATGCATTTGACCCTTGTGAGGGTGTAAATAATTTAATAAGATGATCGGTATAGGTTCGATTCATATAAAAATGTATGATGGGATGGTTCAGAAACTTGAAAATACGAGGCATGTGCCAAATTTAAAAGAAAAGCTTGATTTCGTTTTCTTCTCTTGATATTGAAGGTTGGAAAGTTACCGTGCAAGGTGGAGTACTCAAAGTTTCAAAGGGGACTCTATTTATAATGAAGAGAGTCGGGGAGGAAAGCTTGTGTAAATTATTGGGGAGCACAATTATAAATGAAAAGGTAAATTTGGTTGTAGAAGAAGAGGAAGCTCGACAAGGGGCATAGAGTGGAAGGTCTTGGTAGTACAAAGCAAGGATTTCATGAGGATATTTGACAATGTGGAGAAATTGATGATATGATGAGGAAGCAAAGCCAAAAGCATCTCATAAATTTCCTTCGAACCAATGTTCAAAATTTGATAAAAGAAGGGTCGATGTGATTTAGAGTGTTGCATGCTTCTCTAGTATTGACTTTGATTATTGCCAGATTTGTATGAAATCTATCATTTCACTTATTTATTGCTCTTTTGATTGGCTTGTGTTAGCTTAGGAAGAAAATGTTGGAATGAAGTAAAGTGGATACTTCAGAATTTGAGAAATATGGTCAAGCATTGCCAAAGTTTCAAGCATATACAAGGCTACGTGAGAATAACTTATGCAAGGGATCTCTGTAACATGAGATTAAACACCAACAATACCTGCAGGTGTGCAAAAAAGATCTCTTCTAAAGCATGTGAGGAGGTGGTATGGCCTCAAGAGCTCAAGATAAGATTCTTGAAGAAGGCGGAGTTTGTATAAGAAGCACGAGCGTGAAAGAAGTTAAAGGTTATTGAGCTTGAGGGCTTGAGCTTAGATTAAGTTCTCTAGGTTCTTCAAGAATAGAATAATCGGACATGGTTGGTAAGGTAGTGTGATTTTGCATAAAGTTGGAGATTGTTGGGACATGATGCGAAAATCATTCCCATGTGGCACTCTCTCTTTTAGGAGGGGCAATTGTATCATAGAAAAATGATCTTTTATGGAGGCCTGTAAAAGTGAATTTAAAGAGTGAAAACATAAGAAAAGTATAGAGAAGTTTTGAGAGGTAGGGATTAAGGGTTTTACTCAAACCCTAGCACCGTTGTGCCTTTATATTGGGCCATGTTTCATCGGAATTTCTTTGCGTTGACGGTATTTGTCGATGAAGAAAAAGCAAGTAGCCGATCGATGGTGTTGTTGTAATAGGCAAAATCAATTTGAGCTTTCTATACCATTATATGAGGTAATATCTTCAAACCCAACCAACTTGTAAATTTATTCTATTGATAGTGAATCATTCCCTTGCCGGTTATTCATAGATGTAGCCCGATTTTAGTGAATCATTCCCAGAGCCGACCGGACCCAATTGGACACAATCCAAAAATTAAAATATCGGTGTATTTAACTATATTTACATATATTTTATATACTAGGACCCAAAAAATATTAACAGACGTGAACCCATAGGGTCAAATTTTCAGGCCCATTCCCAAATCCGGATTGAGCCTACCCTTCAGATACCGGGTTAGGTCAGGGTCAATGGCCACCCTCCTACTGATTGCATGCGGTAGGCACAAAATCTTCTTGCAAGAAGCCAAAGACGAGGCAACTTCGATACGTTACGCATTTACTGGCTGACCCCACAGTATGGGCAGTGAAATAGGGCAAACCATATGCATGAAAGGCGGGCCTGACCAAGAAGATAGATCACACATGAACTCCCACGTGGTTTGAATATTGATAATATAGTGACACAGACAAATAGGAAAATCAACGGCTCAAAAATCTCAACATATATAGAGAGAGAGAGGATAGACAGTCACTCTATGTCATTTAATGAGTATCTTGCTGGGAAAGCATCATTTATTTGGGGCTTGGGGCTATAAAATGGGATCCGTTTCTCCATAACTCACCATTCGAAGAGAGTGAATGGAGGGATAATTAAGAGAGAGAGAGAGAGAGTTTTTAGAGAGAGAAAGATGGGAGGAGTGGGAGGACATGGCCCTGTTCTTTCTCAACTGGTTTATGCGTCGTCTCTTGGGGTTATGTATGTCCTCATCAAGACTGCTTTTGAGCATGGCATGAATCGCTACGTTTTTGTAACTTACAGACAGGCCTCCGCCACACTCTTCATTGCTCCCTTTGCTTTCTTCGTCGACAGGTAACAACTCCCTCCCTCTCTCAACAGCCGGACCTGAACATTTGAACTCGGTGGGTCGGGTCCAGGTCCAAAACCTGGACCACAACAATATCCTTGTATGGGTTTGGATCCGGTTGGACCTCACTCGTACCTGTAAGATATGGGAGATAAAATACTTCAAGCTTTATTCCTTTAGGTATATTAAGTATTATATACAATATGAACTCTTGCTATTTTTAGTTATTTAACGGCAAATCAGGCGGTTGAAATCTAATGACAATTGTAATCTTGTTGTCAATAATAAGGGTACACAATGGTTCTAAAAATAAATAAATGAATAAATAAAAAACTTAGCCAAACCCAAGATTGGACGGTTAAAGATATGGGTTCAACTTCCTGACCCACAGGTCAGGACCGGGTTCAAAACTTGGACCCGAATATTATTCGGGAGTCCAGGTCGGGTCCGTTGCGGTCCTATCTTTAAGTTTCCTTTTTTTTTTATCTTGTTTCTTCTCACACTTTTATGGAATTTCACAGGAAAAATATGCCTCCCCTTCGCTTTAAGGTTTTGTTTCACATCTTCATAATGGCGCTCTTGGGGTGAGGATTCAATAACCGTGTCCATGGTAGTTAGTAAGATTTTCTTTCATTACACGGGCAGTGAACATTGTGTCATATTGGTATTTGGTGAACTTGCAGGATCACACTAGAACAAGTTCTCTATTTTTGGGGCTTGGAGAACACCACTTCAACTTATGCTGCCACCATATCAAACCTCATCCCTGCAATCGCCTTTGCCATGGCCTGTCTCCTAAGGTGAACTTAACTTCGCCTCCTTATTAGCGACCTTTGCTCTTTGCCATTGCTCAAGAAACAAGAATCGGGTGCTGGTTCTGGCAATTCAGGTTCCTGAGTCAGCTAGTCAAATATGGGCGAACCGGCCTAATTGATGAAAAAAAAGAAAAAAGAAAAAGCCTCCCAGGGACACAGGAGTCCTGCGTCCCTCTAGTTCTAAGAACATTCTATAGTTCAGGACCATATGGAACAAGAACCGGCCCCATCTAACTAAATCAATTCCAAGTCGGTTCACAATTTTTTACCACTAAATCGAAAGTGTCCATTTCTACTTTGCTTTTCAGATTGGAGAAGGTGAATATCAAGAACCCAAGGGGCCTGGCTAAGGTCATTGGCACTGTTATATGCGTTGGAGGTGCTATGGTCATGACATTCGCCAAGGGTCCTACCCTAGAATTCTTTCATCACATCAGGACATCGAAATCCCTTTCTGATATTTTGGGTGCCAAATCACTAGTTGATACCAAGGAAAACTTGACTTTGGGCATAATTTTGCTCATAATAAGTGTTATTGCTTATGCTTCATGGATAAATTACCAGGTACACACTACTCATAATAAGTGTCTCTGCTTATGTTGCTCGGTCCTTATAAACAAGGAACCAAGAAATGCCGGAGCCTAGTGAGACTTGTTAGTCTCAAATAGGTTTGGCAAATCCTACTTTTTGACCGGTCTAGTGCTAGTCTGGAGTAACTCATGGGAGTTTGATTCAGACTCAACGAGTTTTGAGAGTCTGACTCACTGTGTTTTGAATCACTCTTTTGTTCTGCTTTGAGTAATGCAAATCGTCCATCCTGTTTTCTCTCTCACAATTTTTCTCTTTGTCTACTTTTTATATAGGCTTGGGTTTTCAAGGATTACCCTGCTCAACTCACCTTGACTGCACTCATGTTGCTCATGGGTACTGTTCAGTGTGGTGTGGTTGCTGTTAGCTTTGAAAGATCCGCGGCAGCTTGGAGACTAGCCTGGAATTACAGACTTCTAACATATATCTACAGCGTAAGAATTTAATTCTTGGATTAATCACAATCATATTCATTTAATCCTCATCCTTTTTGCCTTCATTTAGTCACCTCTACCCATTTGGAGCCCCTGTTTCTCTAATCTTGGTGCTAGGTCTTTTGGTTAAATTCCATATTGCTTATGTTATGATTGGTTAAGTACTAAAACTTCAATCAAAGTGGGGATCATAACTGTGACTTTCCATTACTTTAAAGTGCATGGTGATTTTTCTAAGTTATATTTGCCTTTTTTTACTTCATGTAGTCAACATCTACCTCGACTCGACTCGACCAATTTAAGGCACTACTTTTCCAACTTGCTTGTAATTTTGGCCATGCCACATAAATTCAATACTTCATATGAATGCTTTCACACTAATGACAGTTAAAGTGGGGATCAAATTCTGAATTTCTATGACTTTAGGAAACACAAACAGGATGTTATTTCACTTTTTTGTTTTATATTTAAAAAGGTCAAAATCACTATCACACGACAAATAGTTAAGGGTGTGGCTACTAAATATATTTAAAGTTCGAGAGTATTCCTCACGAACTTTATGTAGATAAATGACACCCCCTCCCAGTCAAATTTGCGGACATGGGACCTCTTTATAAAAAGCATTACTTTATGAGAGGGAGGGGGAGAGAGGTTGTACTTTTTCACGAGGGTGTTACCCTCTCATGAATAACATATACAATGCATTTTAACTGTACCCATTCATGAGCGGATTACTCCTATATAAATGAGGGAGGCCTCCCTCTCACTATAAACAAGGAGGTAGAGGTATCATGATACATAATGACAAAAGGTGTGAGAGAGTGGGAAAACTCCTCTTGAGAGAGAAAGAGAGTTCCTCTTGAGAGAGAAAGAGATTTAGAGAGAGAGAGCAATCAATTTCCCATTTGACTTGTAAGGAGAAACCCTGCCTTAAGAGATAAAAAGTTATGCGACAGAGTCCAAGCTCGTCGTCTTGTACGTACGCATTTGTGAGAGTATTCATAAACTTCCATGTCGATTAGGATTTGCAGTGTAGACCTAATTTTAGCAGCTCTAGTAGTTGTCAAACTTGCCTATGCGAGTTGATCATTCATCTTCAAATTTGTTTACTAAAACTTGTTTGCAAGCACTCGGATATGATACTCAGTTTTCAGTTTTAATTTTTGCTTCTGCTTCAGTTATTGAACCGGTTCTTCCAATAGAATATCATGTGTAATACTACGTATCTAGGGATAATTGTGACCTTCTTGTAACAAAATGAAACCATTATTTCCATATAAAGTCGAGAAAAAATTCCCAAATTTTGAACACAATCAATGGCACACCATTGGCTATCAAATTTCTTACACCATAGATAAAAGTCATACAGTTCCATATATAATTTATTCCTTCACTACAAGGATTGGTTTTTGTCATCTTTGAAAGTGTAATCATTTGAGTTTCTTTCTCGTAGTCCTCATTTAATATGAATCTTTTGAGCTCAACCCCTACTATTCAACTGACAATTCAAGAAAACAGGGTGTTTTTTGCTCGGCTATGGGTTTCTTTATTCAAAGCTGGTGTATCAGCAAGAGAGGCCCCATCTTTGCTGCTGCTTTCTACCCTCTAAGCTCGGTTATAACTGCTATTTTGGAGCCTATCTTTCTCCATGTTGATCTCCATGTTGGCGGGTATGCATTTTATCGAGCAATTTATCAAGTCTTCATTTCCTCTTCCTTTTTGTTCTCTCTCCTTTTATTTGTTTATTTATTTTTAATAACAGTAGTTTACCAAGTCTTCTCATACATTCACCTATCAATTTTTAAGATGTGTGTTGACGCACACATAAATTTATATGTTTCAAGGCATCGAGCCATTTGATATTAAAAGGAACGTCGGGAGTGAACAATTTGTAGCATGTGGTCTTGTTCTCAATCCACTCCTAGTCATCCAACTAAGATCAAACGGCAATAGGTCTTTCAACAAATATAAATTATCTGTGTGGACACAAATTTTCCCTTTTCTGAAACCATTTGAAGAAGTTTTGTTTATCATTTTCAGCTTAGGGTTTGAGTAACCCTACATATTTTTTTCTTATGCAGCGCTATAGGAATGTTTATGACAATTGCTGGGCTTTATGCTGTTCTATGGGGAAAGGCCAAAGATAAGAAAGGCGGCACCAAAATATTACCCACCGAAATGAAAGATGAGTTATTTTTAATTTGGGAAGCAGGGGAGAGACAAGAGCAAGTAGTGGAGATGCCCAAAGTAAAGAACCAACTGGGTGACAGAAACATTTTGTCCAAAGAAAGCCAAGGAGGAGACAATTGCACATCATGTTCTCTCTAAGATGATGGTCCTCGTATTTAAAAAGAAAAAAAGCCAAATTAAGTATAAATGTTGTTGTGATTTACCAAATGTAAAAAAAAAAAAAAATGGCATCAAGTATATTTGTTGTGATGTAAGTAATCTCACCAAATGTAACATAAAGGCCCAAATAATGAGAAATAAATTTTCCATTTTTTGGGAACATGTATTATCAAGTAAATAAATACTATATTTAATCCTGTAAAAAATTATTGAAGGCATGTGTTCAAGGACCTATGTAAAACAAATTACCCTACTCTTTGGGAATTTATATAATTGAGATGCTTTTATATGACCTTTCCATTGGAAATGTGATTCTATATTGGGCCTTTGAAAGCATCAAATTTACGACACATTCAATCTCCACTATGCCATGACATACAGACTACAAAGAAGGGACCCAAATTTGTGTAAAATACCAAAAAAAAATAGCATAAATGTCGTTCTACTGTTAGCAACTACATGTGAATTATTTTAGTATATATTTTAAAGGAAAATGGTTTGATAAGGCCTCTGCCTGATGAAAAATAAGTAAAGCCTCGTTTCATAACTCATGAAAAATTGCAAGTGTTAAAAGACCTTTAAAGCGATCATCTCAACTTTAACATTATGGTTGTGAAAAAAATAAGGATTTTAAGTTCAAAAAATAGTGTATATTACAACAAATCATCTAGACCATCCATTTCACTTTAAAAACAAGTCTTAACAAATCTGCAAGATCTATACCATTTTTTTAGTTTCAAATTTTATTGTCAGTGTTGGAAATTAATTTTAAAAAGCCGTAAAGATTTGCCGCTACCCAAAGTGCTTTATTTTGAGTGACAAAAATGGATGACACCAAAAAAAAATATCCTGAAAAGGACATTACTTCCTTCCCTGAACAAACAATAGCCGTAGACTTCAGAGGGATTGACCCTAGACTCCTGTTTGTTATTTTTCTCCAAAGTCGTCTGGTCCCATTAGTTCCTTCCGTGAGCAAACAATAGACTCAAGACTTGAGAGGGATTTACCCTGGTGTTTCATTTTTTTCTTCGAAGTCTTTTGTCTTAAAGTCACAAATATCGGCGTCATTTTCAAACTCATGTCGCCATTAAATAAAGCAAAAGCACAACCGTCGACAACAGATAGGAAAATGCTGGTCCAAACAGGGAGGGAAGGGTATAGAACAAACCAAGAGATGATGTGATCCTGCGTGACCATACTGTATGTTGAAGCCTCTAGGGTAGTCTGGCATCGTAACCTGGCAACCAACCACAAAAAGAAAAAAAGCGAAAGCAAAAAAAGAAGAAGAAGTAGGTACCCCGAAATATATGTGCTTTAGAAATACATTGTCCTAAGATTGGGCAGGGTTTCGGGTCGTAGCATTAGTAACCCTACACCTTAGTCACTACGTTGTGGTTTTCATTCCCACCACTAATACCACCCCACTTATACCCCCCTAACACCATAAAAAAACTAACTCCCAATCTGTTTGAAAAAACGGCAGGGGTATGTCTTCCCTAAAGAATTACCTCAAAAAGCAAAAAAAATTGTCCCAAGATTGAGTATGGACCTGCAATTTTTTAATCCGTCATATCTAAGTGTATAGAAACTCAATTTTGTTAGCCCAAGGAAGTAAATATGGTAGGCTTCTAGAGGAGTATGCTGCAAAAGAAATATGAGTTTCTCTTACCAAAGTATATGATTGTTAACAATTGTTCTCGTTGAGTCAAAAGAATGATATTCAAGTTGTAATTTGCCATCCTCTAAGACTGATATGTGACGAGAAAAACCAGCATATATTATGATGGCTAACTGGCTTTGAATCAGTTCAAAATTGCCATTCTAGACCAAGCAGCCGTTCAAATATTGTGTACTCCTATTACGGCGTGCAATTGTGGTCATTGTAGGCATATATAAATTGGGATTGTATAGTGAGACTATTTATTTTAATTGTGGTCATTGTAGGCATATATAAATTGGGATTGTATAATGAGACTATTTATTTTTGGTATGACGTGGTCAAAATTTCTTACAACTATTTGATGTGAAATTTGATTGCTTGGATGTGTCATAAAGTTCGAGAAATTTTTTTTGAAATTTAAGCTTGGTCAATGAAATAATTATAACCACCCAATTTTACATCAACTGGTCAAGATTAATGTGACCACATTGTATCAAAGGTATTCTATACTTTTCCATAAAAAATTTCGAGGGTTTTTTTTTTGTTTCGAAACTTTGAGTTGTTTCAACGACATACTCACAACCACTCGATTTGAAATTTGACAGACAAAAATGATTGTGACTCTTTGTATCAAAAGTAAATTGACTCCGTGTATAATTTTCTTGTATATATTTATGCATGTAGTCGTGTAGAATGATCCTATAGTAGCATACCATGCAATCACTTCCATTTTATTTATTTTTTGACAAGAGCACATTTTCTTCATTAATGATTCAACAGTATTACAGAGATACATTTACTATGCAATCGCTTCCACGGGAGAGTATGCTATACACCTACTCCATCGGGTAGATGACCTAGTTATTTTTCAATTTGCAATCCGGGAACCAGAGTCACTAGATGATTACTTTCATAAGACAAATAATTGATTTGTAAGTTTTCTAAAACTTCGACGTCACCTCCAAAATTTTTGGGCTTTCTTCAATTTTGAAGTGCACGAGAGTGCGATTTATTTATTTCTTCTCTTCTAGCAAGGTTTGTCTATGGATTGAATAGATTACATCCTGAAAATTTTGCATCCTACAATTACTCTTGGATTGAAAATCACCCGAGAGAGCAAATGGATAGTACACTCCTAAGGAGCATAAAAACTTGTCGCCATATAAATATCATCGTTGCAACCTTAACTATTGCACACCTCACAAAAAAAAGAAGGAAAAATATAAAAACAATCTGCAGATATTCCCATCTCTTATCTGGTCCACAACTCTTGTGGCATGTTCTGTTCACATTATATTTAGCGTGTCCTAGTGATAGCTAAACCAAGTCATCTATCATTTCCCATCATCCGCCGCATTGACCAGAAAAAAGACAAAAACCTAATTTGTCTGGGTTTAGTATTCGAGAAAATGGCCAATTGCATCAAATTCGACTTGATTTAGATCGGGATCAGTGTATGTGAGAGATGTGGTTCTATAGACCCCTGGGGTAGTCTGATTTCTATTTTCTTTTTAACTACTTTCACAAATTCCCACCATTTTGAATCAATTTTTTTGATCGAAATTATCAATTTTTATTGTCAAATAAAGACCAGAAATTATCAAATTTTATTGAATCATTGATCAGGTCGGAACAACAAATGACCAAGATGGCCATTCGATTTGGGCTTTAAAAAATTGTTTGGGCCTTTTCGAACAAACTTCATGAGCTCGAATCCGTGACATACTTCACTAAAATTGATATATCTACCCCAATTTTGATTTTTAAGTTTTCTAACACTTAGATATCACCTTACTTTTTTTTTTATGTTCTTTCTTCAATTTGTAAGTGCACATGAGGTTTATTTATTTATTTTCTTCTTCTTTTAGCGAGGTTACTCTATAAATTGAATAGGTTACATCCCAAAAATTTGACATCCTACAATTACTCTTAGATTGAAATTCATCCGAGAGAGTAAATGGGTAGTACACTCCCGAGGGATAAAAACTTGTAGCCATATTTATATTTTGGTTGTGGAGGATACCCGACAACAAAACGTGGAAAAACAATGAAAAATTTGCACATATTCCATCTTTTTCTTTGGTCCATGACTCTTGTTGCTTGTTGCATGTTCCATTCCATTATAGGCTTTATTTGCCGTGTCCTTGTGATTATGAGTTGACCCTAGTCAACTATCATTTCCCATCATACGTTGCATTTACCAGAAAAAGGCAAAACTTATTTTGTTTGGGTTTAGTACTCAAGAAACTGGCCACTTGCATCAAATTCGACCGATCTAGATCAGCATTAGTGTGTGAAAGAAATTTGGGTCTATAGAACCTTAGAATTGTCTGATTTATATTGTTTTTATTATGAGTAATGATACTATGAGACCCTCTCACATCCATGTGAGTAGGACCCCAAATGATTATCATTAAATTTTGATACTGGATATCTAGAAAACCCATTCACCCAAGTCCAACACCTATGTCACAACTTTTCTAGAGATCTGCGTCAAAATTTAATGGTGATCTTTTAGGGTTCTACTCACATGAGTGTGGGAGGGTCTCACAGTGTCATTACTCTTTTAATTATTTATTATTATTATTATTAATTTCACAAATTCCCACCATTTGGAATAATTGATCAGATCAAAACAAGTGACCAAGTTGTCCATCCGATTTGGGCTTTAAAACAACTTCTTGAACCCTTGATATCCTTCACCCAAATTGATATATTTGCCCTAAAGTTGAAGCCTGGGGACACGGTTAGGGGTGGTAATCGAGTTGTGTCAACCTGCCAACCTGGCGGATAGGCCTCAATTTGGTCTAGGTTTGGGTTCATGTTTCGTACCTGGCGGGTTGGGTTTGGATCCAAATGATTGTCAGGTTTGGCATAGACCTCCTATCTTGTTAGTTTGGGTCCAGGTCTAGGTCCAGGTCGGGGTTACCCGACCCAACCCGACCAGGTTAAAACATACAATGTATGTAAATTTACATATTATGTAATTTTTGAGTGATTTATATATGAACCCTGTATTTTTTTCTAAGATACGAAATGCTCATTTTATAGGAGAAATTACAATGAAGGTCGGTCAACTTGTATTTTTTATTTTTTTCAAAATTGCCCTTTAGTTTTTTTGTTAGTCGGGAAGTGCCCTAAGCTTTAAGGTAGTTCCCTAGTAACGAGAAAAGTAAAAAGAAAAAAATAATTTAGTTAGAGGATGTCCTCAGACTGAGGGACAAATTTGAAAAAATAAAAAAATGTGGATTGACTAACTTTCTTTGTAATTTCTACCTATAAATAGAGCATTTCGTATCTTAGAAAAAAATTTAGGGTCCGTATGTAAATCACTATATATAAAAGTAATTTTTTAATTTCTAAACTAGGGTCCGGGTAGGGCTGACCCAACCATTGCCATCCCTAATCACAGTTGAGGAGATCGGAAATGGCCAATTTTAGAGGGAGGTTTCTAATGGTTGAAGGAGAGCGAGAAGAGAGAGATTACTTGAAAATTTTTG